GTAAAAATCAGGTTGCGGGGATGCGAGTGGTCTGGTGCAACTAGTTACAAACAACAAGGGTGAGTACGGTGCACGAAAGTTAGGATACACTGTATTACACGTGGAACATATATATACATATACACGAGGAGAGCCGCAATCGCTGTAACGAATGAGAGAACCCCCAGCTTGAACTGTCTGTACGTGTACGGTTGGAAAAAAAAAAAATGGCTACTAAAGTATCTACGCAAACTGTTCGCCAGAGAAAAAAAGAATTGCAACACCTTGGAAAAATGAACCGGTACAAATCTGAAATTTTGCATATATCGTTACCGACAGAGGGTACAAGATGATAAAAGTTTGTCATTTTTTCCTGAGATCAGTCGATAAAAAAACATAAAAATTTATCATTCTTTCCTGAGATCGGTCGATAAAAAATGATAAAAATTTGTCACTTCTTCCTCAGATCAGTCGAAAAAAATATACGTAATTTTCAGATTTGTGCAAACCTTGATTTCTAGGCGTCGCAATCCTGTTTTACCAAGCAGTGTATATATACATATGCATGTACAGGTTTGTCGGTTGGATGGTTAAAAGCATGGTGAGGAATGAACGTTATGTGTGTGTACGTGTGAGTGTGTGATATCGAACTGGTGAACATAAGAAGCGGAGAAAAAAATGTATCGTGACACGGCAGATGTGGGTGGACCATCTGGATATTGCGCAAATGATTACCTTGAGGCTCGTTAGCTCGTGGCTGCGTACGACCGTACTGATTTTCTCGATCCAGCTCGATGACGATTTCATTGTCCCGTTCATCGGGCTGCTCGCCTCGCCCGTTTTCGGGCAGAACTGCTGGTTGCACGGGCTTCGCCATCTCTGAAGCAACATTTCACTGATTTGATGACGGGGACACAGATGGCAAGTGGAGTTTTTAAGGTAGACAAAAAAGAAAGAAAGAAAAAAAATGACACTCTGAGCGTGATGATATATATATATTATAAACGTTGGTCTCTTTTTCAATAGTTGACCTCGCCGTGGCTAAAATTGCATGCGTACTGAAAAATACCAATTTCTTTTTTTAACCAGATGTGGCGCAAACTCGCGTATGAAGCACGATGAAACGGTTTGCACCACTTCCGGGGGGGATTAAGATTAGTTCAATGCGTAATTGATTATTGTGAACCACCGAAACCATTGTTATTCAAACACCCTCGCGCTGACGTGTGTCGTTTGCAAAATACACAGCGAAACTTGTTTCAAAAAAAATATCAAACGCAAGTAGTACTTCGTCATTTCCCGAATTTTTCATCGTACCACTTGAAAAAAAATTGTTGAAAAAAAGAAAGGAAAATTTTCTAGGAAATTGCAAACGTACACGTGAGCGCGAGTAATTAATTAATAAATTGATCAACACGTGCTTGTTCGGAGAGTTAGTCAGCGACGCGGAGACAGGACGCTTTCGAATCAGCTATTAAAAAGGAGGCCAAAATGATCTCGTAACTCCGTTGGTATTTGCCATTGAGCACGCCACTCGGGCTTCTCGATGGTAAAAGCGCGTTATCACGCGCGGTAGACGCGAATATGTGGGCACACATGGTGGGCAGGACGAGGCTGTTAAGACAGTGCGAAGTTATCACGGCGAAGAGAGAGATAGAGAGCGTATGAGAAAAGCGTTAGTATAGGTGACGGTGAAAGGGTAAAGTGGTTTGCAACAAAACATAAGTAGTCGTCACGGTCAACGAACGAAGGGGGATCACCATCGGAAAACGATATGGAAGCGTGTTCTCAGTGCTTTTACTGATCTCCATGTCCGATACCGCGGTTCTCTGTCATCTACCAACGCTCGTTTCAGGGTTTGTCATACAGAAATTCGATTCTCCTTATTTGCTCGAGTGAAGAAACTTTGTCGCGTGTAATTATCGTAACGAAGAGTTTCTACCTCTTCGTGTGTCGCTATCGCGAGTTAGGTGGAAAAAGTGACTCGACGGTGTCACCGGTTCTGGGTGGAAAGAAGCTTTTATTTTTCTTTTCTTGCCGCGTTTCTGTGACTCTTTAACTGAATTTTGCTCGGTGGGAAGTAACGGTGGTGTTAATTTCAAGGTACGAAAGAGGAAGGTTTCTACTGCGGGTTTTAGTTCTACTTGTTCGTAGGCATTTGTGCGTGAAAGTTGATTAAAAAGTAAGTCGTGTTTTTCATCCGGAGATTTTGTGTATACCAAGAGTTGGATGTAATTCTTGTTACTCTGTAATTGAAGTTTTGGAAAAAGTTGTACATTGGTTTTTCTTTTTTTTTTTAAAAGAAGTATAGTAATTCGTGGCATAGTAGATACGGGCTTTTCCGTGTCTCGCCGCTTAAAATTGAAACGTGCTCGATTAAATTTTCATGCAAAAGTGTCACGTCGCTTTGATGCATACTCTTCGCGATTTATTTGCGTAGGAAATATGTAAAAACGGAACGATGTTTCACTTACACCGTATGGATGCGTAATAAAACAGAAACTAAAAAAAAAAAAAGTCGAAATTTTGCATGGAAAATCAATCTCTCACAGGCTGTCCAGAAATGCTTCGGAGAATAGTGCTTTTTTTCACGTCTGACCTAATTTCCAATCTTAAAGTCGCACACACTCTTACATTTCGTATCTCGATTATTCTCGAAAGTTTCGCGCGAAAGTTGGTCGTAATTTCAAATGCATCACGTGAAAAAGAAGCACCTCTAAAGAACAAAGCGTCTGAGGGTGAAGCATGAACGAAAAAAGAAAAAAAAAAAACAAATTTCTACGTTATTATTTCTGCCACTACGTTTCTGTCGAATAAAAGTGGGAAGAGAGAATCGTCAGCGTTGTGAAATAAAGTTAGATATACCAAGCTTCAACGTCTCGTGTAAAAATTTCAACAACGAGTGCATCATTTGTTTCCTTTTTTTTTTCCCTCCCTCCTGCTGTCAGTTGCGGGGAAAAAAAGCTTCAAAACAGGGAAATGTCCTTTCGAAGATGAACGATTTCAATCAGGATCGTTGTTCGTGAATGTTTCAAACATTTTGCAAATACCGATTTCCTCTATCATGTATCACGGGCGCCGAGCCAATTTATTTTTCCATCAACTGCTCAAGTTAAAAAACGTCCCGCCTATCGTTTCAGGCCAAAGGAACGATGTCAACGTTACAAAACTACACGCTTGTATCACAATTATGGTACATTTTGAAAAAATGTAAAAAATCCAACTTCGTTTGCTCGTTCTACCGCACGTAGAGTTGCCGTGAAATACACCGAGCAAGAAAATTTCAAACGCCAGAGGAACCTCCGAGAAGATTTCTCTCTTCCTCTTCGTACTTCTCTTCCACCTTCCTTCCTCGAATCGTGTTCGAATAGGATAAAAATGGAGAGAACCGTACGTCGTACCAGTTCCTTTCGATTAATACTTGTTAGTTGGCCAACCTGCGCGAGTCCACGATAAGCTGCACGGCGGAATAAGTTCCGTACAGTTAGAAATTATTCCGCTGCGGGTTTATCGAGAGCACGTCTGCGCTCGAAGAAAATTATACGTGTCTCTCGGTGATAAGCGCACCGTACGCTCGCCTTGTTCTTGCATTCGCTGGCAAAATGTTGGCAAATCGTGTACACGCCTTCCTGAATTCCACCTCTACACAGGTAAATCGTTCCTGGTTGCCTTCTACCTATTTAACGAATCAAATTCACCCAGCGCTGTTCGAACTCTCTCGCGTATATCTCGCGTCAAAATGGTATAGCCGGTGGAAGCGACGTAATCAGGTCGGAAAATCTGTCAGGCGTCGAAGTACACCGTAATCCGTACGCCAAAACAGCAATTCGAGGGACGACGAGGAGGCTCGAGATTCGCTTAGGGCCATTCTCGATGTTATCTCGAAATTAGTTCCTGCGTTGTAGTATCGGAGGAAGCGGGGAAAATTTCCAGGGATCATACGGGGAATCGAATCTGAGATCTATAGGTAGCAAGCTGGGATTCTGTGCATTTTTTATTTTTCTCGTTTCACTTTTTTAGGTTAGGTATGGAGACTTCTATTCTACGGCATACTTAAAAGATGTTATTAATTTGAATTTTTACCAATGTAGGAATTACTATTGTGGGTTTAAGGCTTTAATACACATTGAAATAAGCAATAACAGCTAACAAATTAAGAGGGTGTTTTGGCTATACACGTAGAGTCTTGGCCTGCCACCCCAGAGGTCGTGAGTTCGATTCCCGCTTGGTCCACCAAGTTTTTAATTCCTTAAAAAGTGTTAGGAGGCTTTCAAATATTGTATATATTAAACAAATGATTATAAGCAGAAATTTTAAATATCAATTCGCGAATAACGAGCGACCCTAGGTATGGTTATATCGAATCAGTGTCCTCTCCGTTTAATGATTTAATTTACGACCTCGATACATCTCTTCCACCAACTATACACACGAGTGTATCCTGCTTAGAGCCGAGGCTAATGAAAAAACACGACTGTAACGTGTGCTTCACCCGCTAATTAGCCGTCACAGCCACGGAACGAAGAATGCACGCTGGTGCAACTGATCGCGATACGTATCTGACTCGCTCGTTTAAATACGCATTTATGATCTTTCACTTACACCTATCGGACTTTATTTAATTCGACGTGTGATCGGTTTCTTCTTCTTCTTAATGCGATCTATCGAACGTGAATGGTAATTCCACTGACTTTCGCGAGAAGTTTCCCCGCGGGGATTATCGATCGGAGGTGTGTATTTTTCAGCGAATAATTAAACGGCTGCCCGCGAGTATCGGGTTTGGTTCGAATTAATTTCGTCAGGTGAACCGTTCGTACGCGGATTTAAGAAACGATTAGAGCTAGTCAGAGCAACAGGTACGGACCGAGGAGAGACTTGTTACATTCGAGATTTTCCACGATTCGACTTTCACCTTGATGCGACACTCAGCATCCGGATGGGAGCTTCTTTAACGCGCGACGCGTCCCAAGTTACGTGTAATAACAGCCGGGAGTACCTTTAGCCTTAAGGGGCAACTTTCTTCCACGTAAGCGCGGTGAGTTTCAGCGAAACTAGCCTTTCCTGCAATTTCATCTCGTGGATAATTCACGCGGCGGATAAAAGAGTAGTAGGTCAAACTAGTTCTTGAAGACAAGCGCGTGTGCACACTTTGCATCGGCGACGTGCGATCGGTTTCACGCAACGCAAGAGGAGGATTGGAAGTTGCGATTTCATTTTAATTGCCTGTGATTAATACCTTCTACCATGGTGTATTGCGTGATTGCCAGCTGAACTAACAGGATTTATGGTCCTTTTAATTTGCCGATTTTGATAACAACGTGCTATGTAACTTGGGTAATTTCATTATTTTTTCCTGTTACTAACGGAGGGTTATAAATTCCTCATTATTAATTCTTATCGTTAATACTGAAATTTCGAAAGCCTGTAATTTACACTTTTCAGTCACTTTCTGCGTTGTAATTATGTGTAATTATTCTTCGTATTACTGTGTTTGCTGTAATAATTATTTACTAGGAGTATAGAAACTTTTTAATATCAAGGTTCTTGCAACAGCCAATTACTACAGCTCTTTAACAATTTTATTATTAACATACAAACTTGTATGTTCTTCAATTTGAAGATATAAGTGATAGTTGACATACGTTTACATTATTATTACTAGATTCTTTGTGAAATTGTGTTTGCTGTTTATATAGGTGTAATTAAAGATCAAAGAAAATGGAAGAAAACTGCATTACACGTTTCTGTATTTCGTAATTAATTTTGTTCCTTTCGATAATTTTGCTTTTACTGAAAATATGTCAACCTTCGTCCACGTTGATGTAAATAAATGAGTGAATGGCAAGTTTCACAATTAAACGAATAAATTTATTAAAAGG